TCTCAACCAAAGGAAGAAATAAGTTCTGTTGAATGCAATTTCTCCAGGAACCATTTTCTGGTATGACAGTATATAAAAAACTTTCATTAAACTAAATGCATTTTAATATTTATAGAATTGAATACTATCTCTTGTGATAAAGTGAGACAGAGCAATACCAGGTAAGTCTAGTAGCACCCAAATCAGTATTACCCTGGAAGTGCTCAATAACATGTAACATGTGTTATTAGTGAACTGTTATTTTCTACATCATTCTTGCAAATGTGGACCAAGGATAGAGGAAAAAGAAAGAAGACATATACATGCAAAAATATTAAAACATATACTCCTCACCTTCAACCTAGTATTATAGGTAAGCCACTCACAAAATATAGTAGGCCTCATGGCAATAATATCTTCACATATTATTAATATGAAGTTGTTTAGAACTGCTATCACTCCTTAGGGGAAGCAGATAAATTTTCTTTACAAAATAATATAAAAGAGAACATACCTTTGCACTGGTTTTATTTATGGCTTTGACCTCCTGAGAGGATGCATGCCTGGGATTACCTCTCCAGAAGCCCTAGACTCATAAACATTAGGCCCTGAAGCGAAAGGAATCCCTCAGGATCACAGTTTTTCTCCCTCAAGTCAAGTGCAGGGTGACTAGACTATCATAAACAACTTGTTAAATGACATAGTTCCCCCCAAAATTAGGATGTAGACTGGAGGATGTAAGGCACATACTTTTCTGAGCTGAAGACACTGCTACCTTTAAAAAGATCATGACTAATGAAAATGCAACATTGGATGCTATTAAATTCATCACATTAATGTTATAGTGTTTAATACAGACAGTGAAGGTCAAGTGCTTCTTTACTACACAGAGGAAATCAGAGCTATATATTGCAGATCATGCTGCCTAAAAACCTATACAGTAGCTTTTACTATTGTTGAACATTCAGCTCACTCTTAAAAGCTCACCATTTTGAACTAAATGGGTAGTAATAGTTTAATTACTACATATACAATTAAATCTGTTTGGGATAAGAAGGGGGCCATTAAAAATTAGGTATTTCTAAATGCAGCTTAATTTTATATACTCATACTACAACTGATATAGGTTAGCCTACAATAGGTCTTATTTAGAGTAACTTTTTATATAAAATGCTTTAAAAGATCAAACTTGATTTGCAGAAATTATCTATTTTGTGGGTGTTTTTTCCGTTGTGCAAAGGTAAACATTAGCCAAGTACCACAGATTCCAGGTTAATGAGGTATTACTCCCTCTGGAAAGAGCAAGGTTGGCTACAGGAAAATCTTATTACTTGCTGGCCCTTCAATATGAAGGGATGTGGGCAATATCCCAACAGCAGAAACTAAAGAAATCAATGAGAAAGGCTTTCAGATGGTAGCCTGGCAACTTAATTTTAAAACAATTCACTATTAAAGAACTTGCTTTGCTCAGAGATATCCCTGGTAACTTCTATGTCTCTGCCCTTTGTTGCTTTAAAAGATTTCTTTCATTACACACTCCAGCAATGGGTCTTTTCCCTCTCTTTCTTGTTTAAAACATCATGATATTCACAATGTTCGTGTGGAACTGGTCTGCAGTGTTATACTGCACTAGTGTGAACTGTCTTTAACTTTTATTTACATCAATACCAAAATTTTTCAAATTTGAGTTACAATTTACAATGCAAATCTTTTTTTTCAAATTTCATAGACTAAAGTTCTAGGTATCAAGAATTATAGATTAAGCCGAAACGGGTTTGGCTCAGTGGATAGAGCGTCAGCCTGCAGCCTGCGGACTGAAAGGTCCCAGGTTCGATTCCGGTCAAGGGCATGTACCTTGGTTGCGGGCACATCCCCAGTAGGGGGTGTGCAAGAGGCAGCTGGTCGATGTTTCTCTCTCATCAATGTTTCTAGCTCTCTCTCTCCCTTCCTCTCTGTAAGAAAATCAATAAGATATATATATTTTTTTAAAAAGAATTATAAATTAAGAGACTCCTCTGGCACACATTTAGAAGTATAATATGAACGGAAACCCTCAGACCTATTTCCCCTACTCAAATATAGGGAATAATGACAACCCTGACTAGCTTGTCCTTAGGTCAGCCATTCTCTGGCACCATAAAAGCAAAATATAGTATTAGCTCATTTTCCTAGTTCCTAAAATCCTAAGACAATTTCACCTCTCAGTTTCATGACACTGAGAACTGGATTCTAAGGATAGAGATTTCTAAGAACGTTCAATGTATCCATCTCAATTTTAAATATTAGCACTGAAGAATTTCATTCCAAACACTTAAATGCTTTGGCTAGTTTTATCCACCTAAATTTTGGTCACTAAAATTGTCCAAGTAGAAATAAGCATACTTATTTCATTATGAAAATCAGTGCATATTCTATACATCTCAAAAGATAGTTTAAGTTTATTAACTATAAACACAAATATGTGACTTAACTAAAGAGATATAGACTATCATTTTAAATACAGAGTGAGCTATATGATTTGGGAGCTGATTATCTGGTTTCTAGAATATCAAGTTCCTTATATCTCACCTTCTGGTTTAATTTCTAGCCACTGAGAAAGGAAAGGTAGGGGGGAAAAACTGGGGGTAAATCTTGGGAATTATTAGCAGCTCTTATAAAAGGTTAAAAGATAAAAAAGCTTTTATAAAAGATGTTTTAAAAAGACAGAACAGCTATAATGTAGATGTCAGTAAAAGTCACCAAAGACAGCTGGACACTGATCTTAAGTTTTCAAATGCACATATAGAGAGCCATAGCAAACATTTTGTTGATAGTTTGCTGTATATATCTACATTATATAGATAAAGCTAGAAGCTATTTCTGGTTAGACCTATTTATGCATGTGTAAAAGCTCAATCAGTGCATCTTCTTTCTGGGAAGCTGGGAAGAGATATGTAAGGTTGAACACCATATTTACATACCTATCCTTTTTTTTTTTTTTTTTAAACAAAGATTAACTTAGAAGATTACCCAAGCTGTTACTTAGGTGAAGCTGGTAACGAATTTGAAAGTAAAGTGAGGCATTTAAGCCAGAAAAATTTGGTCCTATTTATTTGAGAATGTTACTATGAATACATTCTTTCTTTTCTATGAAAATATTTTATATATCTAAACTAAGTCACTTAGAAAACATTTTGAGCTTGCCACGTAGGTTCTACCTAAGTCACCTTTGCTATTCATAAGTTTGTAGTATATAACTTGCTGTGGTTCAAGTGGAGAAGTAAACAAGACTTGTTATTATTCCATAGTAAGATATAATCAGCCATGTATACTGTGCTAGGCAGTAGAAATATACTAGATCACGTCCATAGACATAGAAAGTTACTGAATCGAAAGGAAAAAAAAAAGAATCTTACTATCTTATAACAAGGGGAAGGGATTTTCTTTATAGCAGCGTTTCACTACTGCAGTCATGAAACTTTCATGTTGTTTCATGAATTAACATATAATAAACAGACAAACCCTAAACTATCCTAAGTATATTTTCTTCTAAAGTAAAAAAATACTACATATGACAAAAAACTAATACATATACATATCATTACTGTAAAACAATCTGCTTTAAGAAATGATGTGCCCATTCATGGAAGAAGGTCACCTCCTGTTTGCAATGCATTTCTGATCTGCATATTACTGTATAGGTAACATTTCCAAACATCATACTATGATAGATTAATGACCTAAGATTGCTAGTATGTGTAGTGTATCTTATTTTATAATACCAACTTGTTACTGAACTGTTACTCAATTTTTATTGCATATTAAGCTGATTAATAAAAATGTGGTAATTTCTAATAGCAAGTAATCTGTAAAAGCATTTTTCTTCTATACTTTAAGGATTATCTAATACTTATTTTGTTATCAATATAAAAAGTATTTTAAAAATATTCCATGGTTAAACTGGTTTTGAAAATTGTTCTGTTGTGTACAAACATGCCCAAATTTTATTTGGTTTGTTGTGATGTTTTTCTAGTGCCTTTTTAAAATCTAGAGAAAGTTATAGTTCAGTACACATAGGCAATAAAGTCATAACTGACTGTTAAAATTTTAAAGTCATTTTCCCACTCCTTTATGCAAGATATAAAGAAGCTTACATAAATATCTATTCTGTCCAAAGAAATCTGACAGATCTTTTTCAATCAAAAACTGAATGATCAAGAGTGTGGCCTCCCATTAAGTGTGAAAGTGATCTGCGAAGGGTTTACTTCATGTTTAAGCAAAAAATGAAGGTAAAGCGCTCATGAGCTCAGGTGTCAGATATATAATTATTTACCTAGTTCTGCTAAAGCATATTTCAGCATTCTGCATAGTATGACAGGTTATAGGCTACTCCGGCATCATCACTTGCATAAACTTACAAATCCTAGCTAGGATTTAAGGCACTAGAACAGACATTGCTGGATTACCTAATAATCATATAAATAAAGGAGCAGAATGGAAGAGCTTTAAAATCCCACCTAAGGTTATATTCCTTACTTTACCAGATAGTGAGTCAGAAAGGTTTATCTGTGAGCTTATCTGAATAGCTCTGTAATTTAGACATATGGGCAATATATGGAAAGAGGGATAATTTTATTATTATATAATGTTCAACCTAAACCCAAGAACTCTGGTAATAATTACAGCTTTGATCATTTCTTTCTTCATCTCAATTGTTACCACTGATGGTTTAATACAGCACTACTCTCCAGAATGTTCTAGTCTGCTGTGGGAGTTATGCAAAACTTGAGCGAAGATTGCAAACCATCAGCCAAATATAAAATGGTCATTCAGAGTGAATTACATTTAAAAAATCCAAACATGGAAATGGACTCATTCCTGCTAAATGGGTAGGTGATACATAAAATCTTTTATTTATATCCTCTCTGACTCTTTCATGGACATTCAAGATGAAGATAATGTTCCTAGTGAACCTCAAAGTCTACTTTCTTTTCTAACAACCTTTCCTCAGTCTTTTGGTGTTTCACTCCCCTCTGCACTCTTCAGCCAAGAAGAACTTTCTGCATTCTGTGTGCGGCAACACTAGCTTCGTCCTCCGAGTCAGATTCGCTCTGGGATGTAGAACTGCAAGGCGAAGAGCATTCTGGTGAACACAAGTAGTGCATCAGGGGGAGGCGGTACTTCCCACAGAAGTCCACAAATTTTATCTGTCTGACACAGCAGTCAAAGTAGACTCCTGCAGAGAAAGAGGAAAAAGTATAAAGTAAATCATTACAGAGCAAAGAATCACAGTTTCTTTTGCAACCATTTCTCCAGCATTCTGAAGCAATGTCATGTGCAGTCTTCTCTGTTCTGAATCTTAAGCAGAACTAGTAGATGTTTCTATAGCTGTTTATAGTCAATTTATAGTGATTTGGCTGCAAAGGGGCGGCCAGAGTTACCTAAAAGGGATATGGTATTAAAAGGACACTGTTTATTTAGCTTGTTTTCTCTGGGTGATTTGGTAGACAGCGCCTGATAGTACTACCCTACTGTCAAGAAACTTAAAAAGCCCTCAAAACTTCAAAATTTGCAGATAGGAGACAACTTCTGGTATCCTTGTTCTTATGTTTTGAGAAGCAAAATGAAAAAAACCAAAACGATACCTTACATTTCCACAGGTTCTAAGTCTACACACTTCAAAGCTGTTGCACGAATGGTCTCACAGGGTTTTCACACAATTAAATATTGTTAGGTAGACTGAAAGCAGTACTATTCAATCCTCACCTAAGGAAATTTTCCCATTGACTTTGAGAGTGGAAGAGAGAGGGGAAAACAGAGCGAAACATCAAAATTCGTTGCCTCCTGCACGTGCCCTGGCCAGGGGCCCGGCCAGGAAGGAGTGTGCCCTTGGCCAGCATCGAACCTGGGAGCCTTTGGTCGGCAGGCCAACACTCTATCCACTGAGCCAAACTGGCTAGGGTTATTTAGCTCTTTTGATTCCTAATTTTGATTCCACAGTGCTCCTGAACTGTGCCCTTCAGCTAAGTAAAAATACATTTAGAGCTGAGAGAAAAGCAGAGGTTGGTGTATCTGAGTTCTAGCCACTCCTTGAAGATACCGCACATGTCTAACCCAGGCTATCACAAGGACTGCAGTATAACCTGGGACCCTTAAGTCTGCAGACTGATGCTCTATCCACTGAACCAAACCAACTAGGACTATTATGCTCCCTTTATGTTTCCTCTCATTTTACAAATCTTATGACAGTTCCAAAACAGGATAAGACTTTCTGGGTGTTTTCCTTGTGTATGAATCATAAAGGACTATGAAAAGAAAAGAAAGGAAGGAAAAGAAAAAAAAAAGAATCCTATCCACAGAGGGTCTTAGTTTCTGGTAAAAGGGTGAAAGGATGAGGGAAACAGAAACAGAGACTAATTGCCTTTCTCTGAAAGAAGATAGATAATGAAAGCACTGAGATCATCAATTTTAAAAATAGCTAAATGAATGGAAAACAAGGACATGAAATTAGCTTACCTCCACACTTTGGGTTTGGGCAATTGCTGGCTAAACTCAAGTATCTAAGAAGATTCCCAGGAAGATCACAGGGAGTGTAGGAAATATTTCGAATTTTAATAGTCCGGGCAGCTAATTCCAGGAGAGTCGGAGGATTGTAGGTTAAATCTCTAACAAAACGAACAACCAATGGATTTCCTCGCAAACTCAATTCTTCCAAATGAATAAGGCTGAGGATCTCTCGAGGCAGGTATGTCAGCAAGTTATTGTGAAGACTGAGGGATCGAAGCGAATGCAACCTGGAATGAGTGCAGTACAAAAACCAATGACAGTAAGCAAGATAACCACCAAGAAAGTTAAGTTCTTCACTTAACTTGATTTCCCCGTAAGAATGTGCGATTAAAATTAGGGCCAAGGAAATAAAATTTAAAAGTGCTGAAACTCGATCAGAATATAGATTTGTAAATGTCATGATGGGCTTTTGCCCTTGGAATCTCAGACAGTATAGAATATTTAAGAGAATATTCTGACTTACTAGATGAAATATAAATGCTAGATTTAAACATTTTTTTTGGGGGGGGGGGTGTTTTATCATTCAGATAACCAAAAGGGAAAGATTCTAAATGCAGCAGAATCAAGACCCTTCACATTATCCATTAGGATAGGAATGCTTCATATCAAATATAAAATTAACAAACTCCCTTAAAAACCTGGGTAATCTCTGTCAAATACTATATTTTCATTACAATATACAAATATTGTTAGAAATAAACCACAGCCTTTTAAAAAAGTAGCATTAAAAATAAGCAACCCCATTCACAGCAAACATAATGGTAATTCTCATGTAACATCTAGTTCTTTCTACCTATAAAACATGTGGGTGAATGCCAAAACAGTAATACCTAAGCATGTATCTCTATAATAATAAAAGCTTAATATGCTAATTAGAACAGACAGCTGAACAACCTTCCAGACGTCATTCTGTACATCCTTCCAGACAAAGCCGTGGTGGTGGGGGCTGAGACAGAGGTGGTTAGGGGTGATGAGCAGTTAGGGGCAATGAGACAGGCAGGCAAGTGGTTAGGGGTGATGAGGCAGGCAGGTGAGCAATTAGGAAACAGCGGTCCGGATTGCAAGAGGGTGCAGGCCAGACTGAGGCACCTCCCCCACCCCCACCCCCACCCCCGTGCATGAATTTCGTGCACCGGGCCACTAGTGTATACATAAACTGCTTGCAATTACTCACTGTGAAAACTGAGGAGGTACACTTTGGATTCTGTTGTCACATAATACTAAGTAATTTAGAGAAGGCAGATTTGCTAATTCTGGTGGGATTTCTTTGATGAAGTTTCCTCCAAGATATAAACACTCTAAACTGCAAAGATAAACAAAAATAAAAAGTATTATAAACCAAAGCTAGGTAAGATATTCCATTTCCTTTATTACAATGAACTTATTTCATTTATTCATTCAGCAAATGTTTTACTTAGGATCTGCTATATGCCACACAGTCTCTAGAGAAGTAATGCAATCTTAAGGGAGCTTATATTATAGTTAAGCAGACAATACACAGCAATATTAGGCAATATTATCAATACTACCTACTGGTGACTCTGCTAGCGGTTCTCAACCCACAGGTTGAGAACAGCTGCTGTAGAACCTAAGACCACTGGAAAATACAGATAATTACATTACAATTCATAATTATATTTATGAAGTATCATAATTATATTTTGAAGTAGCAAAATTATATTTATGAAGTATCAATGAAAATAATTTTATGGTTGGAGGTTACCACAACATGAGGAACTGTATTAAAGGGTCGCGGCATTAGAAAGGTTGAGAACCACTGCCTTAGACTGTCAAATAAAAAAATGACAACAGCCAACACAACAGTTGCCATCCCATGAGAATGAATCAAAATTATACTTTTTTTTTTGTCAGACTGGCAAGAAATATATTTTTTAGTGTGTTGCAAAATTTTAGTAATTAGTTTATATATGCCATGAGATAAAAAAAAAAAAGTTGAAACTCACTGTTTTAAGAGTGTAATTCATGTACATCCTTTAGAAATTCTTTCAGCAAGAGCCCACTTTAGTTTTTATCTTTGAGTCTTCAGTCTCTGACATTTTTATCTCCCTCCCTCCTTGTTAAGTAATAAATAGGTTGGCTGGGCATAAAATTCTAGGTTGACAGTGATTTTTATTATTAGCACTAGAAAGTTACTGCTCAAAGATCTTATTTTAGCCAGTATTAGTATATTGCTCCTTTGTAGGTAATCTGCTATTCTTTTTTAATTAAGAGCTTTTAGATTTTTTTTCTTTATTTAACCTGATAGTTCTGAAGTTTTATCATGATCAGTTTGAAGTACTCTTTTTAAGTATATTTTATTGATTCTCTACAGAGAGGAAGGGAGAGAGATAGAGAGCTAGAAATGTCGATGAGAGAGAAACATCGACCAGCTACCTCCTGCACACCCCCCACCGGGGATGCGCCTGCAACCAACGTACATGCCCTTGACTGGAATCGAACCGGGGACCCTTCAGTCTGCAGACTGACGCTCTACTGCTGAGCCAAACCGGTTTCAGCTGAAGTACTCTTTTTAATTGTGGGAAATTTTAAACCAGTGTATTTCAAACATTCCTTCCCTATATGCTCTCTAGCCTCTTTCTAGAATTTCTAGTAAATAGCAGTGGAACTTCAGAATCAATTCTCCATGTTTCTTTCTTTCTTTTTTTTTTTTTTTTTTTTAATATATTTTATTGGTTTTTACAGTGAGGAAGGGAGAGAGATAGTTAGAAACATCGATGAGAGAGAGTCATCAATCAGCTGCCTCTTGCACACCCCCTACTGGGGATATGCCCGCAACCAAGGTACATGCCCTTGACCGGAATCAAACCTGGGACCTTTCAGTCCCCAAGCCGACGCTCTATCCACTGAGCCAAACCGGTTTCGGCACTCTCCATGTTTCTTAACATTTCTTTCATACTTCTGTGCTACAAGCTATCTTTAAGCCTATTACCTTTATAATTACATTTTTTAATTTCTAGTTCTAACGAGGGTTTTCGTAACTGTCAATTTTTAAACTTCTTATTCTTGTTTCATTGATGAAGTTCCCTCCTTTATTTCTTTGACATTAAAAATCATGCTTATTGTAAAGTCTTTTGTAGGCAGTCTTCTTAAATGTATTTTCTAGATTTAATTTCTTCCATTTGTTGAATTTCTTATCTTTACTTCATTATCTCGCCTTCTCTATGTGTGGTGATTCAAAGTTTTGTCATTTTAAAAAACGTATTAATGATACTTTTTCTATTTCTGACTGCGTAAATCTCTTACATTTATAATGCTTAAAAACAAAAAGTTTAATTCCAATATGTTATTTTTTTGTCTTTCAAATATTGTCTGTATCAAAAATCAACTGTCTGTATACAAAGACTAAATTCTCCTACATGTAAATGTTTAAGCACTGATTTAAAAACTTCCTTGGCAAGATTTTTTTGGGCTTAACAAAAATGGTCTAAGTTAATTAATGTTCAGTTATTCAGAAGTCTTTGTTTTTCAATGATCAGAGCAAAGAGAACAGAAGAATTAGAATCAGAATAAAACATTTGGAGCCCCCCCAAAAAAGAAACTTCACTGGAAAAATAATTATTTTAATGAGAAGACTACCTGGGAAAAATATTAGCTAACTTGTTTTGCATCATAGTCTACTGAAGGAGAAAAGAAAATAAAAAAATAAAAAAATAAAAAAAAGAGGGTGAATGAGAGCAAATTTAAATATTGTCTTTTCTATTTAAGTCAGGGACCTAGAAAAATTAGTGTCTGGTGGTCAATTACACTCAAATGACTTTTTCTCTAGATATTTTGGAATGGGGGGTTGGGAGACATACAGACAAAGGGTGCCAAACTTTAGTAGTTACGGTGACTTGGCAGAGAAGGATCTGATGTTCTAAAATATAACTAAGCCAATGATTACAAGATTATATCAATTCTCTTTTGCAACTGATGGGTGTCATTAACCAGATTACACAATCAGCATATTAAAGTACACTTTAAGGCTTATTTCTTACTTTGAAAATCAAATAATTCCCAACGTTCTAGGGATATGAAGCCTTTAAATCACTTGTAAAATTAAATTTCCAAAGCACTATCTATTGTTTCCAAACCTACTTTTCTGTAAAAACGAAGGGAGACTACTGTTAAATTTAAAACAAAACTGTAGTATTTAAAAGTTCTTGTATTTGTCAGCATTGCATCTCTGTCGATCAGGTTTGGAACAATTCTGTTTTTTTCAGTGTTGGACAGATACAGAAAAACAGGAAAATCATTCACAAAATTTATAGAATTCTTCCTTTCCTTTCTGTTTACCATTAACAGACCATCCTTAGATTTGTTTCTTGAAAAGTAACAAATTGGAGAACTGGGGTTCTCCAATCCTTAGCAATACCGAAGCAGGTGGCTTTTCTCTATCAAAGGCCAATGACCCATTTTAAAAAATACAGTAGGGCCCCTTAGTGCCAATCAACTTTAACCACAGATATACCATATTTTCCGGCGTATAAGACGACTTTAGAAACGGGGGGGGGGGGGGGGGAGTCAATCGAAAATCGGGGGCAAAAGACCAAAATTGCACAAAAATTACCTGCAGATCTCGACGGCAAAATAAGTCTTTTCTTTGAAGTGGGGGGTAGTCTTATACAGCGAATATAGGCTTAAACCTATGTTTTAACTGTAAAATTAGGGGGTCGTCTTATACGCCGGAAAATACGAGTAAGTAGAAAATGCTTTTCTTCTCCATCCAAATAAAAGCAACATTATTAGTAAATATAATGAAAATATACAATAGTTCTATAATTGTTACAGGGAAACATGTTTGTAGACGAAATTACAGTAAATTACAGTAAACATGTTTGTAGACGAAAAGGCAGAAAGCAAAGACAAAGAAAGAACCGTATATGTATGGACAAAGAAAGTAATTTTCTTGAGATAGCATCCTCATATTGAATTATTCTCAAACACTATCACTGACTACAGGCTTTTAAAGTGCATTATATGTTCAAACGTGGAAACACAAATGAAGGAACCATTCCTTGGTACTTGCCCCAAACTAAGGCAATAAAAGAAAGAAATCAGAGGGAAGAAGTTGAGAACTAGAGAAAAACTCAGTATGTGATTCTAAATAGAAAAAAAAAATTATTTAAATTTTATCACTTCCTACTTATCATCTGGTCTAGTCACTTCTTTTGAAGGATACCAATTTATTAGCTTCAAAACACTCTAGGGCAGTGGTCGCCAACCTTTTGGACCTCAGGGACCACTAGTGGTCCACGTACCACTGGTTGCTCTTGGGCATCAATATTTACCTCTGTTTCTATCACAATCCTCTTCAATTTCTAAAGCCACATCAGACAGTAAGAGAAGGGTCATGAAGAGAAAGGGGAAGGCATTACTTGAAAAGAAAATATTGAGAGAAATTGTACCAATTGAAACTCACTTGTATTCAGACCTGCTCTCTAAATGTCTAGAATCCTGGATGCCAAACAGTCCTGAAGCTTTTGGGTTTTTAAATAACTACTGGGTGATAAGTTATTAAGCATCTGAGCTAATTGAGAGGAATAAGTTTAGATGTCATAAGAAACAGGTAAAAAAAAAAAATCAATAAAATATATTTAAAAAAAAGAAACAGGTCAAAATAATAAATAACTTACTTTTTCAAGATTACAAAAACAAAAATAAGTTTGTCCACATACTAGACAAAGAGGTGTTGTACCTACTTGTTGGAGAATAACCTCATACTTTGATGATAGGAATCTACATCCTCAATTTCATGATTCACACTTGAGCTTAATTTACTCCATGGGAATGAAATTAATAATAAATGTAAGATTTTCAAAAAATAAAAATAATATATACACATATATTTTCAGCATCTACTTATTTGTTACTAGTGGCCCAGTGTACGCTTCCATGTACACTGAAAGGAAATTAGAAGATTTGTGCAGTAATTGTTACTGCAAAAAATACATATCAAAATAATATATATTATATATATATATATATATATATATATATATATATATATATGCAAGCCTAAACAACTATCCGACCTGTAGCTATGATGTGCAATGACCACCAGGGGGCAGACACTCCGACTGGTAGCTATGACATGCACTGACCATCAGGGAACAGATGCTTAACACGAACTGCCAAGCTGCAGACTTGGCAGCTGCAGTTCTCGGATGATGCACCCAGAATGAGAGAGTGGGGAGCCCAATTCTGCCCTCTTACAATCAGGAATCTCTCCGAGGATGTTGAAGAGCCAGTTGTGGCCTGATCCTCACAGGCCAGGCCAAGAGACCCCACCTACCCGAGGGACCCCGCTTCACTCTACAGACGACCTTTGAACCGCAGCACTGCCCCAGATGTGGACAGCCAGGGAGGGACCACAGGAGGTTGGCTCCAGGGCATGTCCAGCCTGTCTCACCCAGTCCCACCCTACCCCGCCCCACTGGCCACCTTCTAATTAATTTCCTTTCAATGTGCACCAATCCATGCACTGGGGCACTAGTAGTAAAAAATTAATACACGCATGCGATTGGCACCGAGAGCTTTATATGTTTCGCATATGTGCAATGTTTATTTTTAAATTGCCAGTGAGCATCATATGTACCGGCCAGTTGTTTGGTTGGACAGCCAGAGAGACGTACAGTGAGACGTACGTGCAGTCACTTGGCCTTTTATATATATTGATACTTCAAAACTGACCTTTCAGAAACTATTTCTTCAAAAGAGTTGCCGCTAGGGAAAAGGATTAACAAAGTACAGAAAACATACATGAAGACACCTTACAAACCTGAAGAGGTTAATTATATCAATTAAGCTAATTGTGTATATTTGTTATTCTTTCCTGAAATGAAGGTTGGGGATAAAGGAGACCTTTACATGGATTACATACCCTGTAATACTTTTTAAATTGCTATTAAAGATTAGGATAACTATCTTCCTAACATCAGACAGATGATAAGTCAAAGAACCAGGTCCTAGCCCTACTCTGTCACTGTGGAAAATTCATGGGTTTGGAGTGAGAGATCACAGAGGTCAAATCCAATCCCATCACTCACTGGCTTTGTAATATTATGACTTAACATCTCAGAGCTTCTGTTTCCTCTTCTCATCTCACAGAGTCATTCGAGAATTAAAAATCATATTTAAAACACTTATAACAGGGCCCACAGCATTGTAAGTAAGCAAATAAGTGCTATTTTTACTTACCCTTTTCCTTATGTGCTGGAAATAATATTTGCTCTTGGTTTTTCTGAGCACTTGAAGAAAACTTAAATGAGGTTGAAATTATGTAACACAAATATTAGAAGGAACCAGGGTCTGATGAGGTTTAATGTCTCTTCTAGTATGTTAGCTCCACGAAGGCAGCAGGATCATGTTCACTACAGTATTCCCAGCACCTGACACATGGTAGGTGCTAAATAAATATCCGTGATGAGATGAGTATGAAGACATGCCCAAATGCCTCATTTTACAGATGAGGAGGGTGGAGTGAGGATATATTAAGTGATTTGCTAAGGCTAGGACATCAAGAGTCCTTATTCTCAGGCCAATGTTCTTTTCACTACATTTAGCTCTAAGGTCCCTTCCATCTCTAACATTCTGTTATCTCAGAAAATTCAAATAAAAGCTGTGAAAATATTTTCAGACGAAAGACACTTTTTTTTTCACTTTGGACAATCCACCTGTTCTTCTTTTTAAAATATATTTTATTGATTTTTTTACAGAGAGGAAGAGAGAGGGATAGAGAGTTAGAAACATCGATGAGAGAGAAGCATCAATCAGCTGCCTCTTGCACACCCCCTACTGGGGATGTGCCCGCAACCAAGGTACATGCCCTTGACCAGAATCGAACCTGGGACCTTTCAGTCCGCAGGCCGACCCTCTATCCACTGAGCCAAACCAGTTTCAGAAATCCACTTATTCTTGCACTATTTCTTACTCTCCTGCACAGCACATTTAAGGGACTTTTGCTACCTGTGTCTCTACTTCTTCCTTGCATTTAATTCAATATACATTAACTAAATAATGAGGCAGACCTGAATAATCAGATCAACTGTCATGTATACAAGGCATTCATAATCAACAAGATAAATGCAATGATGATAAATTAGTTGTGGTCCATAAAGCAGTAAAGAAAACAAAGATATCACCCTCGCGATAGGTTTTGAATGATAAATAGGAATTTACAGGCAACTTTTCAGGCAAAAGGAAAAGGATATATACAGTTACTGCATTCATTCTATGCATATTTTTTGTATGCCCATCAGTGCTGGTAAAATGCACGGCTCACTGAATTTCACAAGTAGTACAGTAGTTCCCTTTTATTTGCAATTTTGTTTCCCCAGTTTCAATTATCTGTGGTCAACTGTGGTCCAAAATTATTCAATGGAAAATTCCAGAAATAAACAATTCATAAGTTTTAAATTATGCACTGTTCTGACTACTGTGATGAAATCTAGTATCATCCTGTCCTAACCCACCTGGGTTGTGAACCATCCCTTTGTCCAGCACATACACACTCTATACGCTACTCATCAGTTACTTAGTAGCCATCTCAGCTAATCTGATCAACTGACATGGTATCTATCACAGCTCAAGGAACATCACAGCTATTATGCTCAGCTCAAGGAACATTTACTTAATAATGGCTCCAAAGAGCAAGAGTAGTGAGGTTGGCAATTCTGGTTTGTCAAAGAAAAGCTTTCAAGTACTTCCTTTAAGTAAAAAGGTGAAAGTTCTCTACTTAGAGGAAAGAGAAAAAATTGTATGCTGAGTTTTCTACAATTTAAGGTAAGGATAAATCTTCTATCTGTGGAATTGTGAAGGAAACAGAAATTTGAGCTAGTTTTTCTGTCCCATCTCAAAATGCGAAAGTTATGAGCACAGTGCCTGTAAGTGCTTAGTTAATATGAAAAAGGGATTAAATCTGTGGGTGGAAGACGTGCGCAAAGACTGCATTCATGTTTACTGCAAGTATGTAGTTATAGCTGTCTTATGTTATTATGTCATTGTTGTTCACCTCTTACTGTGCCTAATTTACAAATTAAACTTTATCACAGATATGTGCATACTGAAAAATAAATAGTATAAACAGGGTCAGTTCAGGTATACTATCTGAGGCTTCAAGTATCCACTAGGGACCTGAAAACACTGACCTCCTACCCTGGGGGACTTTGGTATTGCTGTTACTAAAGAACAGGGAGCAGTAAATGTCCTAGAAAAGCAAGGTTCAGATCAGAGTACATCGGATGTCTGGCTAAAAGGCACCAACTTCGATCTACAGCAGCGACATGTACCGCCAGAATTTTAAAAACATGCAATCCCTGGCTATTGAGCCAGGGGCACTGACCTCTTTACCCTTATTGTCAAATAAAGTAACAGCCAACACAACAATAATCGCCTGGTGTGCAAGCATCAACATGGCAGGTATTTTTATTTTTCAAGTCAGATCAGGAAAAGAAAAAAAAATTTGTTTTTGTTTTTGTGTGTCCCGCAGAATTTTGGTCATTAGTTTGTGTGTGCCAGGAGATGAACAAGGTTGAAAACCGCTGGTCTATAGACAGGGGGGCAGGGGGAGAACCGCCAAGGACTTCAAAGCAAGAAAGGGACAACATTTCCATTTGAGTGTCTGTTAGTTTGAATAGAACAACTGCCTGGATCATCTATCTGTTCAGGAAAAATACAACGTACCAAACGCGGACACACGTCGCCTTACGGCAGTGTTTCCCTAACTTCTCTCAGGATGAGAATCCCCTGGTGGAGTCGTTAAACTACAGATTCCTGAATCCCAACTAAGAAAGTGCTCAACTAGAATTTTGGGGAACATATAGGTAAAATTGTATTCTTAACTCATCGAGCACATGAGAGAAGTTTGGGAAACACTGCACTGGATTAGCTGAGCTGGCGGGCAGCGCGCACCGAGGAGTGAAAGGGACAGAGGCGGCTTCTGACCCCTAAGCCGCGCCCCGACCAGGCCCGGCGCCCGCGGAGGCCGCCCCGGACCCCCTCCCCCTGGGCGGCGGCGGCGGCGCCCCGCTCAGCTCACCTCCGCAGGTTCTCGATCTCGGCCGGGATGGTCTGCAGCTGGTTGCCCCCGAGGCTGAGGGTGTGCAGCGCCCGCAGCTCCAGCACCGGGGCGGGCAGCTCCTGGAAGCAGTTGCCGCTGAGGTTGAGCACCTGGAGGCTGCGCGCCAGCGGCGACCGCGCCAGCCCCTTGGGCAGCGCGCCGGGCCCGCCGAGCCGGTTGTTCTTGGCGAGCAGCGTGCGCAGGCGGCGCAGCGCCAGCAGCTCGGGCCCCAGCGCCGTCAGCGCGTTGCCGCTCACGTCCAGCAGCTGCAGGTGCGGGAAGCCGCCGCCCAGCGCCCGCGGCAGCGACGCCAGACGGTTGTGCGGCAGCAGCAGCCGCAGCAGCGCCTCCCGCGCGCCGCGCCGCTCCTCCTCGCCCCGCGACTCCAGCTCGGACTCCAGCGTCTCCGGGGACACGCTGAGGCGGGACAAGTTCAGCTCGGCCTCCCCGGCCGCGGGCACGGCCGCCCCGGCCTCGGCCTCCTCCATCCCGGCCGCGGGCACGGCCGCCCCGGCCTCCTCCATCCTCCTCGCCCGCCCGCCGCGGGGCGCGCGGCCCCCGGAACCCGGAGAGCGCCGCGCGCGACCCCCAGGCCCCGGAGCTGCGCGGCCCCGGAACCTGAAAGGAGAGCTTCCTTCGGAAGAGGCGGGCACGGACCTTAATCCCGCGCGTCCCCGCCTTAGTCACGCGCCCGGGCGCTGGGCACGCCGCCGGGGGCCGGGCTGCGTCTCACGTGGCGCGCGGCGTGCGGGGGGCGGGGCTGGGGCCTGTGGGCCGCCACGTTGCTTTCTCTGTGTGGGGGGGTGTTCGGTCCCTTTAGAAGGTCCTTGTAGATCAGTGTTTCCCAAACTTCACTCATGATCAGAATCACCTGGTGGAGTGGTTAAACTACAGATTCCTGAATCCCAACTAAGGAGTGCTAAACTGGATTTTTTGGGAACATATAGGTAATATATATTAAATATATTACCTATAAATAAAAAATGTATTTTACCTATATGTTCCCAAAAATTCTAGTTTGGCACTCCTTAGTTGGGATTCAGGAATCTGTATTTTAAGTTAAGTATACAATTTTACCTAAATGTTCCCCAAAATTCTAGTTTAGCACTTCTTAGTTGGGATTCAGGAATCTGTAGTTTAACCACTCCACCAGGGGATTCTCATCATGAGAGAAGTTTGGGAAACACTGCATAGAAGGTTCCCAGGAACAGGACGAGGCAGACGGGGGTGAAGGGTGGGAGAGGGAAGGAGAGCCCTCCTGGAGGGGCCCCTCCCACTGAGTAAAGAGAGAAAGGTTCCAGTCTTTGGTAACTTAAAATGTTGGAGTTCTGCTAAGGCTAAATCATACATATGAAGTATCTAGGTATTTTGAAATAACAGGATACTGAAGTATTAATTCACCTGAGTTCCTTATTATAGAGAATGTAGAGGATGTATTTGAATCTGTAGATGAAAACGTCCTGTGTTTTGTTTGAAATATCTCTTTAAAATGTGAATGTATTGCTAATCTGAGGAATGTAAATAATTAACCTCAAAGTTAATGTTTCTAAGGGTTAAGAATTCTAACTGGAAAGACACTACGTGGCTTTGGTATAATAGAAGGCACGAGGCATGGATGTGCATTTTGAAGGAAAACAAAAGTGGGTTCTAACAGCGGTGTGGAGCCCTCTAGGAAGTCCTATTTTCCTTAAACCAAGGATACATAATACGGTAGTAAATGATTTGCATTTTTTTTTTCCTTTCTAACCAGAAGATAAATAGCTTATATCAACCTACTCAGGGAGACAGCTTAGCGGAAATTGCTCAAAGTATTGTTGCTCCAGGGCGCCAGAGTGGAGACCACAAATTACCTCAATATAATTGTTATGATATTAACTAGAGGCTCAGTGCACGAAATTTGGGCACAAGGGGGAGAGGGGTCCCCTCAGCCCAGCCTGCACCCCTCTGGGGATGTCTGACTGATGACTTAGGCCCAGTTGGACATCCTTAGCGCTCACCAGCCATGAGCTGGGCTTGTGGCTATGCAGTGCTCCTTCCTGAGAGAGTGTACTCACCACCAGAAGGCAGCTCCTGCATTGAGCATCTGCTCCCTGGTGGTCAGTGCACATCATAGCGACCAATCGTTTCACTGTTCAGTCAATTTGCATATTAGCCTTTTATTATATAGGATTGTTGACTGTTAAATACACTGTTCCCACCTATGTAAAAGAAGCATGTATCTATCATTTTACTTTTTACCCAATCCCAAAGGTTCCCCTCCACCCTTTGCTCTCTCCCACTTCCCTAATCTATCACCAATGGATTTCATGTAACTCACTTAGTTTCCTTCTTTGATTGTAACTTATAAAATAAGGTGAAGACTGTCATTCTCTGGAACATTATCTCAATACCTTGATATTCTGCTTCTTAGCAATTATTGACAGTTTGGCCCAAATAAATTCACAAAAATTCTTTACAGGTTTGAATGTTTCTTACATTAACAGAGTTAAGATTACAAATCAGTGAAGTTAAAGGGGAAAGATGGAAATAGTCTCAAAAATAGAAAATGAAGCTACCTGATAAAGTTTTGAAGAAATGTTTAAATGAATGAGAGTCCCTTTATTGCTCATTATAATGACAGCTACCACATGGGTCACAATTAAGCAGCATCCCTCATACTACAGTGGCTTTGAGCCTATCCAGTCAGCCTGGAGAATTTTGAAAACCTGCGAGGTGAAAGGGGTTTGGTAGCTTGTGGACCTTCACAATGATGGGTCTGTTTTGTGGTTTGCAGAAGGAAATAACAGAAAGGCAGGTATTCCAGATGGGGCCACTAGAAGGTGTGAGGGAAAAGGAGGCAATGTAATGCATTATCTAGGGAAAGGGTTGGATTTCAAGAGTTTGGAGTAGTACATGGCATATTTGTCCACTTACCCAAACTGCAACTGGACAATCAATGGGTCCATGCTGCCTGTCACTACTTGAGTCAATGAAGCAGAGACAGGGTTGAATCATATATGAGTGTTTACTCCAATACTGCCAGCAGTATGGGAGAACAGCAGGTCATCCACAAAAACCTGCTCTGTACCCCACCATAGCCAGCTGCTTCTTTTGGGTAGAGGGGCAAAGATTACATGGGGAAGTGGGCAAAAGGTATGCCAAATGGGCAGTTTACGGGTAACATGGGCTGGAGATTTGCAAATGCCCGTGAGCGTGCAAAGGCTGGGGGGTCTTCAAAGGACTAGTGATATGCAAAGGTGTTGGGGGGGGGGGGGGGGTGTCTTCAAAGGGCTAGCGATTCTGGTTTCTGCAACAAGGTGGTTAAACTTTCAGCTCCCTGCTGGGGAGGATGGGTTGTATTTCCAGGTGAGCTCCCAGCCAGGTTAGAATGAGCCTTCTTTAACAAAACAATCACAGTCAACAGAACACAATATTTCTTACAATTATAGCTGGTCCCTAATATTCAATTTCTGCCCCTATCAAAACTATACCATTCAGCAACTCATGGGTCAAACTGACGATGTTATAGAATAATGTAACATTCTCCTGACTAGAATGTTATTGAATAAAGAAGGGAGATCAAATGAAGGGCACTTTTCCCTTCAGCCACCTTGTGTAGGTTGTCTTGAAAAAACTTCTTTTTTTTTTTTTTTTTTTGGAAAAAAAAAATTACAGCCATTAGAAATATCAAGTTTCATGGAGCATCTTGGTGAGCTTTTGCTGCAGCACTTGTGTAATAACACTAACACCAAGCAGTCCCTAGGGACCGCCACACAACAGTCCCTTTGAAGAGATGCTTGACTCTCCATCTCAGTTGCTTCTCACCTGGCTGATTGGAGGGACCAGCTGTGATACAGGTAAGCTCTTTCAACAAAGAGTCCATTTATTTGGGAGAAATTGTTGGCCATGAATGTGATCTGGAAAGCCAAATGACTGATAATGTGACTGAAGTGTTTAGATATTCACCCCAACTGTGTCTGGTCCCTTCACACTTATGTGTCTACATAGACACATAAGTTCGTTGACTTCTCATAGTTTTCCTGTAAAATGAGATGAGAAGGGCATAAGCCCAGGAGGCAATACCAGGTTGCATTGCTGGAATTTTCTGTTTCGGCATAGTTGATAATCATCTTTAGTAGTGTGTGAATTTATTTTTTTTCTGTTTATTTTTTTTGTGTGTGTTTTGTTTTGTTTTGTTTTGTTGCCTGTTAAATAATAAAACTTTCGCAGAAACCAGTTTGGCTTGGCGGTAGAGCGTCGGTCTGCGGACTGAGGGGTTCCAGGTTCGATTCCGGTCAAGGGCATGTACATTGGTTTCGGGCACATCCCAGTAGGGGTTGTGCAAGAGGCAGCTGGTCAGTGATTCTCTCTCATTGATGTTTCTAGCTCTCTATCCCTCTCCCTTCCTCTCTGTAAAAAATCAATAAAATATATTTTTTAAATAAAAAAAATAATAAAACTTTGTAACAATATTGCACCAGATTCTATTTAATTTAGTTAATGCAATAAACACTCATTGGGTGCCTATGACATGTTGAATTCCATGATGGACATATGAAAGGCAAAGAGGACCTTAGCCCTGCCCTTTGGGACATTACCATCTGGATAATAACATTTTTCATACAGAAACTATAAAGCTAATAAGTAACCCAGGTTATAAAAATAGTTTTAATTATGGAGAAATGCTTACAAAATAGTGTCATGAGGAAAATTAACCTGGACACTAAACAGTATATACAAATTGAGTTCTCCTAAAAAGATTGAAAGAGAATATTCCAAAATGACAACTGTTCTCTGGGGACAGACTTAAAGGTGATTATAATATTCTTCTTTATTCTTTTCTATTTTTTATTAATTTAAAAAATGAATTTGTGTTACTATTCATTCTCTTTGGAATAGCAACTATATCTCTACAACAATACTTTAAGGATAACATTGGATATTTGTACAAAGATGTAAATACAAGATTATTTTTGAAACTCACTTTATAATGTCTAGAAACAAAATACTTTCTAAAAGCCCACCCAAGAAAATTAGATAGATCCATTATGGAACATATGAATGATGTAAGTATAAATTTATATATATATATATATATATATATATATATATATATATATATATATATATATTTCATTGATTATTTATTTATTTATTTTTTACAGAGAGGAAGAGAGAGAGAGAGAGAGAGAGAGAGAGAGAGAGAGAGAGAGAGAGAGAAACATTGATGAGAGAGAAACATTAATCAGCTGCCTTCTGCACACTCCCTTACTAGGGATGTGCCTGTAACCAAGGTACATGCCCTTGACCAGAATCGAACCTGGGACTCTTGAGTCTGCAAGCTGACTCTCTATACACTGAGCCAAACCGGTTAGGGCAATGTAAGCCTAAATTTATTGACAAAGAAAACATCCACCACCTATTGCTCAGTATGTGTAATATGGTTTCATTCTTGTGGAGGGAGGGAGAAACAAAAGGTTCATGTAAGAGTACACATAGTAGAAACTCA